TTGCAAAGAAAAAAGCATGTGAAATGACAAAGAAAATGCACAAAAAAATACTGAATTTTAAGCCGAGGGTGCCTGAAGTACAGTATGGCTTAATTCAGGGTGTACCTTGTGTGTGGGGCAGGGGGTTGTGCACCCCCATTTTCTGCTAAGATTTTTGATAAAATCAGAAAAAGGAATTCTGATCAGTAAAATATGGGAGAGGTCATTGGTAAAATTGTTATATAGTTTTCCTCAAATATTGTGATTCATCACAATGACCTAGTAGGCCTGCAGGGAATATTGAAATTGATTTTTTTAAAATTTCCTTACTTGAAATTGAAAGGGAGGGATTAAGTGGGGCAATGAGTGGGCACTGGGAAATGCCCTAATACCTTTGATAAAAATGAGGTGTCAAGCCCCTTATTGAAATTTTATCAAAAAGCTATCAGAGAAGACAGCAACTATAATGCCATCTGTTTTCCACATTAGTTGAAATGTCTCTTCCCACAAATGACATCATGCACATTGTATTATATTCCCCACAAAAGCACCATGTATAAAGTTAGTAAATAACACAAAATACTGATACATGAATGGTTTCATACTGCTTGCAGGAAATCAAAAATTTCCAAAACACGATCAAGATACAAAGAGCTTATAGCATGTGAAATTGTAACCATTTATACAACATATCAGCCATATTTAATAAAAATAAATGAAACTATATTATATAAAGCCAACGCATTTTCTACAACCAAACATTAAATATTCGTGGCTAAAATAAAGCATTATCCATCATATTTAAATATAATCATTTCCCACCAAAAAGACCAATTTTTCATGAAATATTTACAGTATTTCAGGTTCTCGAGAATGTGAACTCACTGAACTGTGAAATCTTATTTACCCATCCGAGGCTGTCAGCTCGTCTCAACTGGCTTCAAATATCGTCTTTGCCGATATTTCTCTAGGTTTATTGTCTTTCGCGAACAAGGATAACTTGTACATACTGCACATCTTTGAAAAAATAGTCCACGTCCAAAAATAATGTAAAAAATCCAAAACTACGACCGCAAAAACAACAAAATATTTTTTGCAAAAATCAGGGGGAGTGAAAATTGTAGCGGGCTCAAAATTGAGCCTTTTTCAGTGGTAATTACATGAGCAAAAGGAACCAGATGGCGTCATTCTGGCGTCAGCAAAGGCCGAAATCCGCCATGTTTTTGGTGACACTTTTTGATGCCGAGCACGTCCTCCAGTTATAGTATAGCTCAGTGCGTAAGATCCTCCATGTTTTTGGCTTCACTTGAATGACTGGCGGAAAGATAGGAGCACCTCCTCCAGTAATATTATAGCTCAGTGTCTGTATGATCTGCCATTTGGATCATACACTTCATGTAGTCGCTGATATAGTCAATGTGCAAATCATATTTTGAAATTGTTTCGAAAGCATGGCGAACGTCAATAGAGCATTTAATTTATTAAGAGAAGCAACTATTCTTTTGTCCGAAAGATCAGAGGATGCAGCAAACACTGAAAATGACCAACAGCAAAGAAGAACCCCGGAAACATCAAACAATCTCTCCAATCAACCAAATGAATCAGCGACCGTGTCCTGTTCTACTGCTTCTAGAACACAATCTACTAACTATTCTTTTGTCCGAAAGATCAGAGGATGCAGCAAACACTGAAAATGACCAACAGCAAAGAAGAACCCCGGAAACATCAAACAATCTCTCCAATCAACCAAATGAATCAGCGACCGTGTCCTGTTCTACTGCTTCTAGAACACAATCTACTCATTACACTGAATCTATCAATACTGCTGGCGTCTCGTCTTTCCAATCTACAAGCGCTACTACTTCGACTCCTATAAGAAGCGGGCAGAATGTTCTAAACCATTTTAGGACATTATTTAGTCCGTACGCGCGACCATCTCCACTGTGTTCGAATAGAGGCAGCACACATGCGTCTTCAGTTTCTGCACGAGGTCTGTCACGAAGGCCTGCAGTGAGAACGAAAAAGCCCAGATATGAAAGTTGGACACACAAGATGTTTTGCTTGTCAAGAGCGTCAGAAGAACAAGTGCCAAATCGTGAGGAAAAAGAACTCCTTCAGCGTGCTGGGTTAGGACGACTCAAAATAAAATTTAATGCGACAGGAAGCATGCAAACATTTAAAGAAGAGCTGGAGAACACATTTCCTAAACTTATGTGTGGTGGGGGGTTTGAATTACTGAAGCGCCTTCCTGGAAACAATCTTGAAGTAATCCCGCCCCCAGCTATAGGGTATAGTGTTGAGCATTTAAAAAAATGTGGAAATAAGACCAATCCAATCTGATCTAGATGTATCTCCTGAGACTGACACCGACCTAAGAAATACACCTGAGGTAAGAACAAATACTGTGACAAAATTTAAATGAAGTAGGAGCTAGTGTTGTACAAGAGACAACTAAATATATATATTAGTCAATGGTCAATCACAGAAATAGCTCATATATCTTTCCACAATTACTACATATTTGACACATATTTCAGTGAATATAACTGAAATATATATTTTTAAAAACACTACAATATACATTTTATTTTTTTATTTGTGTGATGTAGGATGCAGAGAATGCTCCCAAAGTTGCATGTTTACAATGTGGTCGATGTGTTCCTATTACCTTAATTAGGAATCATCATGATGAATGTGTAAGGTATATAAATAATTGAAAATGGATGCTGTTGAACTCATTGTCACCATATGTACTTTATAATCACTCTTATTGCCTCATAGGGCCATTCCATTTAATATACACCCCCCCCCCTATGTATGAGGTCAATAAAATTTGAACCCCTAAGAAAAAATCATAGTGCCAACAACCCCCCCCCCCCAGAAATTAAGACCTTTCAAACCGGAATGTGAGCAGTCAAATCCATTCCTCTCTGGCAAAAGTGGGGCACTTGCAATTTGGCTCTCCCTGAGGCAGGGAATATTTCAAAGCTACGTAGTATGTTACCATTGGATTATGCAGCTGTTTTGCCTTGTACCATTTATGTTTTGTAATAACATCTTCTTTCAAAAGGAGAATAAGCAAGTACTGTACTTTGGTGTGGGGAATCTGCCACTGAATTATGACCTGCTACAGGGTATGGTCACTTGATCCCTACCCTGCAGCGTTAGCACTATATTTGCCATTCCTCAGGGATTGACCAGGAGAAAGAAGGGAAAGACTAGTCGATTTAGATGAAATATATAAATTGTCTCTAAAATCCTGGAAATCTAGTCATTGAATCTCATAAATACAAACAAGGGGAGGACCCCTCCAACATCCCTCACTAACAATTTCTCAACTATCCATCATTTTCTTTGGGGGTCATTTCTTATACCACTCCTGAATAATGGGAAAAATAACCCTTTCGGGACCTTGGCAGGGATAAAGTAACCCCTCTGGTACTAACTATATACACCCTTGCACTGTAGGCACATACCTTATTAGCTTATGGTTACCATCTGTAATGTTCAGCGATTAGGACTATATATATACATATCTATGTTAATTAGCATTAATTTAACAATACATTACACCATCAATGTGCCATAGAGCTAAAGTTGACGGGACTGAATATGCTCTGCGATGTACGATGTTCATTTCCAATGCACGAATAAGAGTCCCCTGTGGATCCACCCTTCGCATTGACTCTCGCATTTTTTTTTGCTGGATTCTCATTCCTCGAGATCGCAAATGACCAGTCATTCGTTTATAGTCAATGTTTGGAAAACTAGTTAAAATTTCCAACGTTGTTCTATCTAACTGCTCGTCTGATATAATTGCATAAGTCCCTCTAACTGATAGACCAAACTCCGCCATGCAATGCTCTATGGTACGCACACTAATACCCAGTAACCTCGACATTTGTACGGTAGTAAAATGTCTTTCAAGGAGAAATTCAAGTTGTTTGTAGGATATGTTGAACTTTGGTCGGCCAGGAGACCCAGAGAACAAACGTCCAGCAGCTGCATCGTGTTGTGTTTCGCACGAGTTGGTTATAATAGATAGTGCTTCTGAGAGGAGATCGACAACAGCCCGTTGAATAATATTACTGTGATGATATCTTATCACTATACCCAATAACCACTCCAACCTAAACTGAGCGTTTTCAAGACTACTGCTTTCACCGCTACGTTGCTCTAGTTGGTGAAGTATACTTTAATAACTTAAAACACAGCGTCTCAGAAGATTTCTTACCTCAACTGTGAAGTCTTCCTCCATGTTATGTATATACGAGCCTGCGATCTTAAAAAGTTTCAGGTCCAGGATCCAGTACGTCATGTAAAATTGCCATAAAAGATAAAACAGCCGAATACAAAACAGCCGAATACGAAACAGCCGAATACGAAACAGCCGAATACAAAACAGCCCGAATACAAAACAGCCGAATATATGAAACAGCCGAATATATGAAACAGCCGAATATATGAAACAGCCGAATATATGAAACAGCCGAATACGATTTTGCCGAATAGAACTGTATAATTGGATCACATTGAATGTCAAAATGGCATATTGAATTTTGGCAGTAATCACCCTTCATAGGAAACTACCACAAATATTACAACCCTTCAAGTAAAAGTAGTCCGGTGATATATGAGAATCAGTTAAATTATGTGATCATGTTATGACTGTTATTCTAAACACGGTATTCTGAAAAAACATTTTGTCTTGTTATTGACTCACTTCTTGAGTTGTCAGACTTCTCAGGATGTCTTGATTTTTTTGACTGTTTTTATTTTATGACTTAAGTTTTTTCCTTCAGTAGAATTTTCCCCTATAGCTCTCACTGTAGTCAAGATGATAATCTCAGTGTCAAATACTGCAAGGCTGAAGGCATTTCTGTAAATAATAAAAATGATTCCCTTGTTAAGTTTGAATACAGTTAATTTCCACTGTTCATTATTTGAACCAGGTCTTATGGTGAGCATATGTTGTATTGTTTGTTGTATATAAGAGCACACAAACAAATTGCTTAACACTGCTGTTGTGTTGTTTCTCCAAATATAGTCTGATTACCTTGGCTATATGGTGCACTGATTGTCTTGCTAGGATCAATATAGAACACAGGTCCTGGATTTGTCTCAACATCTGTACATAAAAAGCTGAATGACAGACATTTTTCTTGTGGTTTGCATTTTTGTATACCTATTGACATAACCTGACATGTAGAATATTTCTGCCAAGATACCTTTCGGAACATTAAAAACTGCTTAACGTTCTGGACATTTTATCAATAAAAGCAGATGCATTTTATTTATGATCATGTTTCGAACAGGCAAGTTTGCACTATTTCATACAGTGGAGAGGACCTCGGTTATGTTTAAAATGTTTTTTTAACAATTTGCTTTTTCTAAACTTCCAAGCAAACCATTTTATTGGTATTCTACTGGGTTCATGTTGATGAAACTGACAAGCACTATCGAGTTCTGCAAAAATATTTTCACAAGAACAATGCATCAGTCAAATCCAAGCGTGCCCATCCCCCCAGGCTTTTGACAATTTTGAAAATATGCGACAAATTCCTGGGGGCGGGGATAAAAAACAAGCGAAACTGCAGTGGGGGAAAAAATCAGTAGCAAATCCCCGGGGACAGCTGGATTGTTTGGCTTTATCCAACTACCTGAAAAATAAAGAGTAAAGGAATACCGAATGGTTTTCTGTGCAGGATTGCATGATCCATGCACACAGGATGTTGCGAGACTTTCGGAAAGCATCAAAATATACGAGCCGTAGGCGAGTGTATTTGTACGCTTTCCGAAAGTCGAGCAACATCCATCCCAAGCGCATGGATCATGCTATCCTGCACGGGAAAACCATTTGGTAATTGTTTTATAAAATTACTACAGTGAAATGACGGTTAACTTGATTAAAATTACTGATGAAATGTGCAGTTCTCACAACAATCGTGAATTAACCAATCGGAGAATCGCTACTCCACGCTATTGAAAACAACAACAAATGTGAACAGAGTTTGATCGCAAATTCGCGAAAATATACAGCGGAAATACAGAGGCTCTTTCGATAAAATTTACAAAATTTGAAATGGAAAACCCACTAAACAGAGAGCCAAAGTAGTTTTGAAGACTCTCGACCTGAATACTTGAAGATTGCAAAGCATTTGAACTTTGAAGCGACTAGCGAGAGATGTTGTACTTGCCATAGTCTGATGAATTTCAACGCTATGCGTTGCTACTTGCTGAACAACAATGTATCAATCGGAAATTTATTCATACAACTAAACCAACGTCTCAATAATTGCAAACTTACTTCAAAGTCGAAAGGTATCGTACAATGAAACTTTACAATGCGAGTATATTTGTAAAATTATGTGCAAGAATTTCTGTTCAGAATTTCCCGTGCAGGATTGTCTGATCTTGCATGGCTGTTGACCAATCAAATTGCGTGTTTCACTGTAGTAGTTATTATATAAAATACTTTTTTTGATGTTTCGAGCGAATGCCCTCAGTGATGCCCTCTGATTAACAAGCCTTTCCCTATGAAAATTGCGCGGGAGTGATTAATCGCGCACGAAATACGTTGTGCATGCTACTGTGAAAATTTTTTGTGAGGCTCCCCCACATATCTAGAAATGACACGATTCGCAAATAATCTTGTTGGTTTACAAATAAAAACATTAACTGCCTTAAAAAAACAGGCACTCAAAGAGTGCGTAAGGATTTTTTGCAAGAAAGATGGAAAAATATCGCCCAAAATGTAATTATAACAAATCACAACATCATGACAAATCTTTTCTTTGAATGTCAACTTTTGTTTAACTATTATATTTAAAATTAATCTACTACAACTTTTAAATGGCCTTATTACTGCCTGAAAGATGGAAGAAAAACTCAATTTGTAGAAATGTTGAAGACATTTCCATGTAATGTTTGGATAAAAAACAAACTTGTTTCGATGTTTCCGCAACAAGCAATTACATTTCTAATTCATTTCCAATAAATATGAATGAAAAATGGAACAACACAGTTTTCATAATGAAAACATCACTTTTAAATTTACTTTATAACTTTGCTCCTGAGTTTGTTTTTCAGAACCTTTGCCATTTGTATTTCTAGCACAAAAAAGTCATATATTCCTTCATTTAGCTCAAAGTACTGAGTAGTAAAATGTTTAGTCATTGGTGTATTCTACGAAAATGAGCGGGTTTTTTGCCCGAAAGATTGCGAATAACTTAAAAAATTCGCTCCATTCTGGAAGAAATATTTAGTTTGCGCGTGCGATGAATCGCGATCGCACACTCCTTAGAGCAAGGCCTGATTAATATATCATTCACATATTTCGCCTGCGTTGCAGGATACGCAGTATTGTGTGTCATACTCTAGCGCATTTTGTTGTTGTCATGCTCTAGCACATTTATTTTTAAAGTTTGAGGCGTGGTTCAAATTTATGCGTTTTTAATCTACAATTGTAGAGGTGATATAATATATTTTATATTGAATATTCTGTCATGGAAGAGTTTGATTAATTTATTAAATGTTCAGAACTGGTATTGTTTTATTTTTTATCAGGTCATCGGTGATCATAAAACCTCCAAATCCTTAATTTCAAATGCCCCACCCCTGGGGAAATGTTTCAGTTCAAATGTCCAACCCCCGGGACATGCTTTTCAGGAAAATGCCCCATGGTGGCCCAGGGGAATGGGAATGCTTGGATTTGACTGATTCACAAGCTTTACCAAGCCCATGGCCAACATGGCTAAGGAAAGTTGAACGTCTTGAGCATCGGACTTGTTAAGGATTATATGTTAACAGTACAAGAAAATGTACAGGAATGTCGTCTACAGTTTACATTTATATCATTTACATCATTTACGTTTATATTGTTTACATTTATTATCAAGTAACACTTCCATGTCAGCATAATGACCAGGCAATGTTGTGATATTAATAGGAGCAAATTTCATACCTCATTTCTTGAGATTAGGGTGTAGTTCTATGCCTTGATTTAAAACACTTCTCACACCTGTTTTCTTGACACCACACATGTTGTTTGTTTTAGTCCACAAAAACGTGAATCAGTCAAGGAGAAAGAAACAGCCAATTCTTCGGTACAAATCCTCAGTGTGAGCCCACAAAAAAGAAAGTACCAACTGGACACTGTTGAGTGTAATTAACATAGAAATGTACAATTTCTATGGACAGAGGTAAGTGGAAAAAGCCAAAGCAAGTTTCCATTAGGGACATAATTTCGTCCAGCAGCACAGGTGACCTTGTCTCATTGAAGGCAAAAGTGTACACGAAGAGTGGAATCGAAACGGTATACTCCCATACAATGAGAAAAAGTCTAAATATGTGCAATTTAGTTCTGGCTGATGCTACGGGTGCAATCCGAGCCACCTTTTGGGAGAGCATGATCAACCAGGTCTCGGACGGCGTTTCATATGAATTCAAGAAGTTTTTAAAATAAATTTCTTCAATAACAAATATTTAAACAGGACACCAGATACCAAAATAACAAAAAACAAATTTGTAGAAGTGCCACCAGAAATTGTTCCTGCTGCAGAGGAGCTTATATACCGAAAACGAAGGAAACAATTAATTAATTAGGAAGGATTAATTAGGAATTAATTAGGAAGAACACACGTTTCGAAGACCAATCTCTGTTGAGGCAAGACTAGCAATGGCATTGTGGCGTTTGACCACTGGAATTGACTACCGTTCACTGGAATTGACTACCGGTGTTGGCAGGTCTACATGCTGCAAAATAACACATGAAGTATGTCAAGCCATTGTAAATGGACTGTTGAGTAGATTTATAAAAATTGTAACTGGCAAACGTCTGGAAGAAGTAAAGCAAAGTTTCTTCAGAAAAAGTGGACTCCGTCAGTGTGTGGGTACTTGTTGATGGTTGCCATATACATATCATACCTCCAAAGGATTATCATATTATAACTGAAAGCGATTTCATTCTATTTTATTGCAAGGATTGGTAGATGATAGATGCATGGAAGTTTTATTAGAAAATCATTACATGTTTACAGCTACACAAATTATTATTATCAATTATAAATACTCACGTTAGCAAATGATTTAAAAATATCAACTGATCTGTATTCTTGGTTTCGGTTTTGTATTGCACTGACAAGCTTCCAAATTTAGCTGAAGCTGTCAACAATGACATAACTCCATATGCTGGATATCTGCAGAAAAATTCCAATCTCGAACCCTGGGTAATGTGTTCTTGTTTTCTCATTGGCTACAAGCCTACAAATAATTGTATGTATTTGTTCATGCCCATGCTATTTTCAGGGAAACAGTAATCTGTAGAGGTTATTCGATAAGCCCGAGATATTTCAGTGGTGTGCTGTGCGAAACTACAAAATTTACGAAAAGTGAATGATTTAAATTAATTTGTTTGTTTTTAATATTTGTTTCCTACATTTGTTACTGTCACAGAATGAATTATAAAACAATTATTCAGCTTACACAGGATATCCAGAATTATTCAGACCTCAGTCATTGTTATCAGCCTTTGGCAGATAACATTGATCTTGGTCTGAATAATTATAATTAAGGATATCCTGCTCAACGTCGTTCAATAATTATTCGGATAATGATATTGATATCTGATTTTGTTTGCAGTCATTCACATCTGGATATGATGATGAACGTACATGTGGGTTCATCATCTATAAAAGGTGAAGAAGATCTGAAAATCAGCTACGGAGATGATTGTGTTATAGCACCGAAGTTGTGGTAGAGCAGCAATATTCTCCGACCAGAATGCACTGCTGTTAACCTACCAGAATGCATCGCTGTTAACCGACCAGATGCTTTCATGCATGATGCTATATAAATGCAGTTGTTTTGGTGTATTTTGTATTCATTGTGTGGTCTGTTGATTTCTGGCTTGTCTTTACACTATATAATGAGTTTGCTTATTGGAAACAATTTTTAACGTTTGGACAGCTATATTTCTGTGTTTGTGTTCTTCGCCTTATCTTGTTTTCTCTTTTCTTACATTATTTAGCACTTAGCACTATATAGTAAAATCCACATTGGTCATTGTAATTGCACGCCAGCTCAAAGCATTCATTTCAAGCGTTAAAAGTGAACTATTTCATTTCGATTGTTGTCAATCAGTTTGGTATAATTTAAGCAGGGTTTCGTCTGTTGACTTTTTTGTTTGAATTAAATTTGACTCGACTATCAGGGTAATTGACACGGAGACATGGCATCAACACAGTTCGGCAACTGCCAACTATGACTATAGTATGGCATTTTGTCAGAGCGATGCTTTGCATGCTATTTCATGTGTTAATTAAATAGCATGGTACACTATACTGTATATACAATATGATGTTATGCATGTGCATTGTTTAAACATGCAACGCAACCAGGGGCATGTCATTGGGATTGAAGATGTGCATGGAATACTTTTTATCATTGATCATGTTTTTGTAATTTTGTTATGTTAGGCCTATTTCAAACGCCACGCTTCTCATGTGCCGAACGCATTAGAAACAATAGATAATGAGGCATTTCAGCTGACTATCTAGTTTTTAATGCGTTTGGCACATGAGAAGCGCGACGTTTGAAACAGCATGTGTCGAATGCACTAAATGTCGTAGCTCAACTCTAGTTTTCAAAGTAACATGGCTTTAAGTTTTGTCCTTTCATGGTTTAAAGTTTTGCTCCATGTTGTTCGGTATTCAGTTCTTAAACGACTTCACATCAGTAAATTCAAAAGAAAGGCAATTTGGCAAAGAATTGTTTTCAAGCGAAGTAAAACATCAGCTATAAGCAATTTACTTTAGCCTGGTTCACATATGCCTGCGGTATCATTGTTCGCAGCTGTTGATCCATACATTCTCAGTTTGCGAATTATTTGGGGAACTGCTATAATGACAAGAGCCCGCAGACAGTAAACAGGGTGTTCCAAAAAACCCAAGGGTTAAAATTTTTCATTTGGTCACATTGCTCTGCAAAAGAGTTTGCAGTGTTGTCTGAATTCGTAGGTATATGAGTCACGAGTGATTCTGAACTTGAATTATTTGAAAGACAAGCGGTTTCAACTAAATGGCAACCTGATTCTGTGTTGTGGTTCACAGATGCCAAACAATCTGCTGGTATGTTGTAGTTTTCAGGTGGGTTAAGAGACGAGCATAATACTGTGTTTAATGTGGGAGGTGAAATACCTGGCGTGGTATAGTTTTTTGTTAGCGTAGTGTTAGTTTCCATGTTAGTATTAGAGGGCTCATTGGATCTCTCTGTATTGTGCATATCCCATGTTTTCATTATTTTTGCTTCAACTTTTCTCTTTCGTCTTAAAATTTGAATGTCATGATTCTGTCCCATTCTAGTTGGTATTCTTAGTGTTGATTGATATGATATGCACAATCCTCGCGCTGCAAGATGACGGAAAGTCGTCTTGTTTGCTCCTCCCTGTTTCAATATGATGCTAGTCATCATTTGATGCATGTTCATTTCTCGATTTCGTGCATTTAAAATAATGCCAATTCCAGTTAGTTTTGCGTTTCTAACTTGATCTGTACATTTAATTTTATTTCTTCAAATTTCTCTCGTTGACTGCGGCTGCAGTTATTACTCGGTTCAAAATCGGACATTGATCTACAAATTCTTTCTCCTGCTCTTCATACGAGAACGACTTTAAATCTGATGCCATAGAAGCACGAAAACATCTTGAAAAGTTACGCCCACATCCATTCCCAACCTCCTCCTTTACTTTACGTTCAATCAACTCTAACAGTTTTTCTCTCAGCTCTTTCACCTCCCAAATGGCACAACATATTTCCTGATCAGTTTTATCCAGTGCAACAGCTTCAGCAATTTTTATGTATTTTAAGTTCAAATCTATTATGTTTCCTTCACCATCAGATACATTTAATATACCCTACAAATTGTATAATTGTCCAGTTAACTAAATTTATAAGTAATACAGTGGTACTCTATTCAATATAAATTAAATTAACCAGTGGTGTAGCTAGGTTTCTCAGTTATGGCCCCTTGAAAATATTCTTGGGAGGAGGGCAGGATAGTTATAATTTTATACATGAAAAGAAGGGGTGGGGTCAAATTTTCGCTGGGGACAGCTAATCCTGAACCCTTAGTAACCCTTATGTATGCCATAGAATTTGTATCTGAAAAAAATCTATGGTTTATTAATTTAGGGAGTGGTCATTATTTATGGGGAGGGGGGTTAGGAAATGGGGAAAATAAGGATTGAAAACTTTTTTGACCCCTCTCCAGACTGAAGGCAAACTTTTTGTGCCTCCCCCCTCATAAAAGTAGAAACGTTTCTGACCCCCCCCCCCAGTGTGCTTTGAAAAATTAACAGCAATGAAACAGGTGTGCGTTGCAGGTAAAGTTAGATATTAGGACAATCTGTTTAAATTAATCTAGCTCATGATGTTTTACCCTGGTGAATATGATTCAACCATATATGATTAAAATATATATATTATGTGTTACTACTTTGCAATGCAACATTTGTCCTACCATAACCCTAACCCATGACCCGTCTTCACACAGCGAAATGATTTGAACACAGGGTTTTTTTAAGAACTTGTCTGGGGGGTGGGCATCTACAAAAAGGGACCATATTATATTGAGTGTGGAGAGATGACAGAAGGTTGTTGGTGACAAAAAGTTTGGTGTGGTATCGTATGTACTAGTAGGGGGTCTGGGGGTATTCTCCCCCATAAAATTTTTTGTATTTTTCCGCCCCTAGAACTGAAATGTGAGCATTTTCTTGTATAAAGATCTTGATTCAATGATCGTCTCGCCTTTGACACAGCCTTTGACGTCGCTTCCGTCGATGAGGATAATTCATGTTTTACCCTTACTCACAAAAAGGTCTCTTCAGCCTTTTCTTGGTTGCTTTTAAGTTGCAACTGACCCTCTGACAAGATTTTTTGTCCTTTTTTTAACTGATTTAAACATGACCGACAAATACATTTCAAGTTCTTTGAATAATCTAAACAACGTTGCAAGAATTGTTCTACAGTCTTACAAGCCTCAGTTTTATTACGTTGTCTCCAAAGATTTTTTTATTCCCTGCTTTTCCGGCATTGTTACCGTATTTCTTTTGCAGATCTTCATAACAGATGATACAAATAACATTGGATGATGGTGAAAGAAAAGGCACACTTTTTGTTGGCGTATCATCGGCCATGAACTGATGAACATTTACAAAGCAATTCTTGTGTATATTTCAGCTCAATTTTTGCCACGAAATTTCTAAATGTTTATTTTGTTTACAAATTTGTAATTTTGGGTGTGACAATTTTCGCACGTTCATATAAAGTTCATTGTACGTTTTTTTATTATTGACACGGTTTCCAATTTACTATAGTTTCGATCTCGATAATACAAAAATGTTTATCTGGGGCCGAGTCTGGGGCCAGTTGTATCAAGCCTGTTTTATAGCTTAAACGGTGGTTAAGCTAAAAACAGAAAGCAAGTCATCGATTTATTCAACAATCAAGCTAAACGTGTCAGTAGTGGCCGTGTAAAAAATGCGGCCGTACATATTAGAAATAATTCGTTTTATTATCAATTCATTCATTAGAATGATCATTTTATATGATAACCAGTTTATACCTTGCATATAAATATCTAAAAATGAAATACAAATTGTCAAACACAAAAACACTGGGGGTCATCGAGGTTTATTACGGCTGATTTGTAATTTATCCGTTCTTATAATCGTTGTTTACAATAAATTGCAAAAAGAATGCCCAAAATTCCAAATGCACGCAGTCAAAAGTGATGTGAAATCTACAAGAAATCTTGTGAATACAAAATTACTTATGTTAAACAAATAACGCCTTCCCCCCCTAAACTAATTACCCAAGCATGTGATAAGTCAATGCGGCCATCTACTTCCGGCTGGTCGAAATTGACCAGCCGGAAGTATGTCTGCTGCCAGATGTTACAAGTCTCTCTTTCCTCCTCTCCCCCTTAGCGGTACGTCATGTAACGTACAATATAGATGTACAATATATAGATGTCCACAAAGAGAGACTTGGAGCAAGTCTAACTGCATAACAGGACTGCAACAAAACTTGCAGGGGTGCAATCATGCATCCCATACGTATATAAGCTGCACGATAAAAATAGCAATAAGACAGATTTAGATGTGGAACTTTTGTAATCAAAGTATAATGAACAGGGTCACTCATGACTTACTTGCCTAATTATCTATTGTTTGACTTGCATCTAACTTGAAAAAACTCTGCAGAACTTCAGAGCTTATTTTGCAACCAGAGGTCACCATGCCATGCATGTGACTTTTCGCTGTGTATAAAACTTGGGAACCATATCATTTCAACTGTCTTAACCAACTGTTCGTTGACGAAGGAGCAACCTCGAAGCAAGAAGCAACCTCGAAGCAAGAAGCAAGCTAGCTTAAGGTGTAAAAGGTAAGCATTTATTCTCGCTCAAATTGTGGTACACAATATCTTCCAAACAAATTATTTGAACTTTTTAAACTGTTGTTATTTTTGTGGTCATCGTGTATCAGTACAATACGCTTTGAAGTTTGGTGTGTTTCACGCCTCCTTGGTTATTTGGCTTTTGTAAAATTTTATTGGTTATGTGATCAGGTTCATTTCTAGCTTTTTATGTCAATAGGAAGAAGCGATTAAAGCAAGTAGTGTGTATGTAAGTATACTGGTAGTTATCAAATTATATAATTATGTCTTCTTCACCCAAAAGACACCTATGCTTGTTGCTGGATGTTCCTTTCAGTTTTGAACACAATTTTAAGCAGTCAAAGCAATTGGGAGCACCTGTACAATGCCATTCAATTAAAGATGATGGTAATTGTTTATTTCGAGCGTTATCGTTTGCGATTACTGGTCGACAAAATTATTATGAAAGGGATTGAATATACTTTACAGCCACATATAAACTGCTCCTTAGAGGATTATTTGTTAAATTCAAGAATGGCATGTGATAAGACTTGGGGAACAGATAGAGTTATTAACTGCTTCTTCATTGCTCGATACAGACATTTATGTGTATACAAAGGCTGGAAAAGCTTTTTGTTGACATAGGTTTTCAAAACAAATGTTACATGAAGATAAATCGTTGCCTATAAATGAACATTCAATTTATTTATACCATGATAATGGTGTGCATTATGTTGTTATGGATGTAGAGGGTGTTCCAATTGATAAATGTGAAGCCGAAAATAAAATTCAGTCTGATTTTACTGGAAGCTATCACCCAATTAGTACTGAAGTTCATGTTGAAAAGGCTTTTAATATTTCTTCTCCACAAACATTTTCACCAGTCAATAGACCTTATTCATAAATCGTGATGAGGCCTCGTATCCTAGGAAACAGGGAAAAACGCGGGAAAATTGACAAAATGTTGTTTTTTTTGCTGTCGGCTATGGCAGCCTTTTTTCGTGAATATTTACGGCTTTTTTCGAAAATAATATCTATAAAACTGAGCTTGAAAGTTGAAAAAATACTTCTGAGAAAATATTACATGATATTTGAAGCAAAAGATGCTGGAGTCAATCGAAAAAGGAAACCTTTGACTTTGTATTATTGTCGTAGTTTGTATGGCCGAAACAACAAACCAACAAGGCTACAAAACGTCTATACAACACCAAAATCGTAAGAAATATGAAACTATTGTTGAAGAAATAAGATTACAACTCACTCAGGTAATGTAGCCTTCATTTTTTAAACTTGTAAGCTGCTTGCAGAATGTTATCGAGCCACAGCCATAGTTCATATTTTTCCGTACGAATCAATAACATTTGACGTTCTCTTGTGATTTTTTACTGTTATTTTCTTTCATATTTATGTCAAATTCGAAAAATTATACTTCCATTCCATAGTTGTCTTGATTCTTCACGGAATAAACCTTTATATTGACGTTAAAATCTCAGTAAAATACTGTTTTTCGCTTCTGGATAAACACCATCGCTACGTTGTCATTTTTCCACACAAAAACGGGAGAAAAACCGGTCGCTTT